TTTTCTCTTACTCTAAAACACATCCATGTACATTTATTCATCATTCATTTTTATATATGGCCAAGCCTTCTCTGTTATTTTGGGTTGGCTGATCACAATTCAGCATTGTGTTTCTTATGTAAACCCTACCCATAAGGCACTTGCTAAACAGTATGAGAGCAGAATCCTTCTGGATTTTTATGACTTTCTTACGCCTAGCCTTTTATAGTTGTCTTGTGCACACCTAATATGACAGGAATATTTATAGCAATAACTTTCATAATGTCTTGCCCAAGCATTGAGCTTGGTTTTCATAGAAGCAACTCTTTTTCTTTCCACACCCATAGTTTGTGCATTATTAGATTAGGTCATTCAAATAACAAGTATAACAGGCCCAATCAAGTTGGTGAACAAACACAGACGAGTTGTGGTGAATATGCACCTCGCTGGGCCAGAGCAGAAGGGACGGAGCTATGGGAGAGCGGCCCACTACCTCAAGTGTTCAGCAGGCACATCGGACAGTGGGTTTCCCAAGGGCAGGGAAAACCTGAACTGTGACCCCATTAGGAGGAGGGTGGCTTAGGAGGCATCTGCTGTGTTCATTACTGTTTTGGACTTAGGAACACTGGGACATTAGGCACAGCACAGAAATTAACTCATGGTTCCAATAAAAGCCTTTACAGTTGTTCTTGGCCATCTGTTCTTTGAGACCCTATTGGGCTGCTTATTGTCTGTTAAGGCTGTTTTAGCAAAATATCACCAACTGGTTAGCTTAAACAACAGAAATTTACTGTGTCCCAGTTCTGGAGGCCAGAAGTCAAAATTGAAAGTGTCGACAGGGTTGGTTCCTTCTGCGGCTGTGAGGGAAGGATTGGTGCAGACCTCTCTCCTTGCCTTGTAGTTACATGGCCACCTGCTCCCTATGTTTCTTCATATTATTCTCCCTCTGTTTGTGTGTCTGTGTCCACATTCCCTCTTCTTACAGGGACACAGGCCATACTGGATTAGAGCCCATCTCAATGTCTTCCTTTTATCTTAGTTACCTCTATAAAGACCCTGTCTCACATATGGCCATGTGAGGTCCTGTGGCTCAGACTCAGTATATGAATGTAGGGAGACACAAGCCCACTCATAACATTTGGGAAGGACCATACCCAAAACCACCAGAAATTAGCAACTAGAGGACTGACCCTTAAAAGAATTCTGTGTAACAGGAATTGGCCTTCAGAGTAATTGGGGAAGGCACACGTGGTGCCCAAATCCTGTGTTACAGTGGGGAAAGACCTTGAATGCTCTTCTTCTGATAGCTTTCCCACTTACAAGTTGGGTGACCTGTTTAATTACATAAAAGGAAACCCAGCCGTGTAGAAAGGACATGGATTTTGAATGTAGACATTACCATGACTAAATTCTGGCCTCCCCACTTACTGCCTCTGTCATTTCACGGCACTTTCTTCACCTTACAAATCCCTCTTTAACTATAAAATGTGGAAAGTAAGGAGGTTCTTTAAAGGAGTAAATTGTAAATGTATGCGCAGTTCCTGGAACATAATAAGTACTCAAAAATATGAGGCCCTTCCTTCTTCTTAACCTGTGCAGATTATTTTAAATTACTCTGAGAGTCTCCTTAGCCACTTCTTTAAATCTAAGCGCACTCTATGGCATAGCTCCAGGTTTTCTGTGGCTTATAAGAGTAGACAATGACCTCCCTACATTTTCCTCTTATGTTCAGTTTGTTTTGACACCAATCGAAGTTGCCATTGAAGATATGAAGAAGAAGACCCTGCAGTTAGCAGTTGCCATTAACCAAGAGCCCCCTGATGCCAAGATGCTTCAGATGGTGCTGCAGGGCTCCGTGGGAGCGACTGTAAATCAGGTAAGCAGAACCAGCTGGTCGAGGTTCCTCTGGTTCTTGTTATTTTCATGATATGCTTCCACTCTCCTCCCTTGAGGTTGATGGGGAGTCTGATGAACATGCAAATGATGTTCCTGAACTTGGACTGAACACTTGTGAGGTTTAGGACACTTGGAGTGACCTCTTCTGCTCACAGAACAACCCACAGTGGAAAAGAAATCCTGGAGATGAGTGGACCATCGAAGGAGCACCATTTTCTCTCAGTCTTCACTCAGGACCAGACTGGACATGATCCAGACAGAGTCCTGTTTAAAAGTGCTTAGTTAAGCCCAATTTAGGCAGTTTTTGCACAGATTGAGGCTAATCTAAGAATGTCTACAGGAGAATGGGGAAAGGGTCTAGAATAGAGGTCCTCAACATTTTTGGCACCAGGGACCAGTTTTGTGGAGGACAATTTTTCCATGGATGGGGGGGTGGTATTGCAGGGAGGAGGTGGAGCGCAGGTGGTAGTTCGAGTTTTCCATTGCCCAGCTGCTCATCTCCTGCTGTGCAGCCCAGCTCCTAACAGGCCATGGACTGGTTGGTAACCAGTCTAGGGCCCGGGAGTTGGGGACCCCTTGTCTAGAACATGCAACCCCTGGGTCAGTCATCTGATGAACCCAGCATGCCAGGAGTCTTGCTAAACCAAGAGTGACCTGGGACCAGGCTTCTCAGGTCACTTTAGACCAGACCACATCTCCTCCGACCCATGAGAATCCTGACTTCCAAATTCAGCGTGGATTAGTTAATAGCTTAGTATTCTCTGTCCAGAGGACCACTTTAATTTCAGATCCAAATCCATTCTTGTCCACACCCCACACTGCAAAACCGAGTATGTGACTCTCCCCTCACTCAGCACAACTGGACCCCTGCAAAATTCTGTGTCCACATAACATCAAGGGAACAAAAATAGCAGAGAGGAGAAATTGCTATTATATTTCCAAGATCAGAAAATATTAGGAAGCTTCTGCTTTTTAAGTCCCAATCCTTTCATGAAAAAGGAAGCCTGTACAAACCCACAACCATGGACTGACTACGTATGTCTGCATTTCCCTGACTGGAGCCAGGAACTACACAAAATGGTACTTGCCACAAGGGTGACTGGGCAACTGAATATGAACGGAAGGGACAAGACAACCCCCATTCTTAGAAAAGCATCTCAAAGCCCTTGATATAGTAGCATTGTTTTTGTGTATGAAGGGAAACCTATTATTAGTAGCATTTGATCAAGAAAATACTTCTGACTATTCTCTGAAAACCTTAGACTCCTCCCTGAGAATTAAAAATTCCTGAAAAGTTTAAGACCTTCTTTATTTTTTTTTGTTTGTTTTGGTCAAACCAACTACAAAATTAAATGTTCAAATCGAGACATCGTGCCAAGATTTTCCCAAGTGATTTTGTTTTCTTTCCAATGTCAGTATTGTTTTTTTTTTCTTTTACTTTTTCCTTCAGGGACCACTGGAAGTAGCTCAAGTGTTTTTGGCCGAGATTCCAGCTGACCCCAAACTCTATCGACATCACAACAAGTTGAGACTGTGCTTTAAGGAGTTCATAATGCGGTAAGAAGGAAGCGGGCTGGCAGCCCGTGGGCAGAGGGTCTCAGAGTGGGCTGCCCCCCGGGCCAGCAGCACCGGCAGCGTCTGAGAACTCACTGGAAAGGCAAATTCACAGGCAGCAGCCAAACCCCCTGAGTCAGTATCCACAGAGGGGAGGGGGGCGGCCCGCAATCTGTGTTTTCACAAGGCCCTCGGGGTTTCCAACACATGCCCAAGGTGGGGAGCCGTTGCAGTAGAGGAACCCACTTGTACTACTATTTAGTGACTGGCACTTCAGCTATACAGTGCTTGTGTTTATCATCACATGCGTGCTTCACACTCACATTATAAAACAAGTATTATCACCATCCTCGTTTTACAAGAGAGGGAACTCAGAGGTGGAGGATGACTTTACTTAAGGTCACACAGCCAGTCAGCAGAGTGAAGTTCAAATCCAGGTCTTCTGAATCCAGCCAAGTAGCCCACACTTCCATGAAGGGGCTGATAGTCCAAGATGCATTAGAGTCTGAGAGGCTCATGGCTGTGGCAGCCTGTGTAGTTTCCTGTGTCACTCAGCAACTTATTTGTACACATTTAAATATAGGCACTGCCTTGAACTGAGAGACAAAGGCAATATCCAAAACTGGGCTTTTCTGACACCTCTGGCAATTCCCAGTGTCAGACAAGACTCTTCTCTGCTCCCGAATTCTTCTCTGCTCCAAGGCTCTTCTGCAGCGGGGCCGCCTGCAGGAGCAGCGTGCCCAGCCTGGCCCTTTGGGCAGGGTCTTGCAATCTACCGCCATGTAGACACGTATCCTGGGACTCCATGGCCCTAGAGAGGATGATTACGAAGGATGTGGTGGCATTTCACTCATAAGAAAGAATGTCAGAAATATGTGTACCAATATTTCTTTCACCCAGAACCTTAGAGAAGCATACAAAGTGTAGGATTATACTTGGTAGATGGGGATATCGGAGGCTAAAAGTTAGTTTTCTTAATTTAGTGAAAACTCATCAGAATGTTGGGTGACACTGGTGCTATCTCCTCCTTCACAGGCTTTGGTGGGACAGATGCAAATTTGCTGTGCACAGAGGATAATCACAGCTGCTTGGCAGTGGGGGGGTGGCTCTGTGTGATGCGTGTGTGTGCGTGTACATCCGCATGCACACACACAGATTATGTGCATTAACGTTTGGGTATTTGAACTGTTTCCCGTGTTGGATAATGTTTGACGACAATTCTAGCATTACACAAAAGCTAGATTTTCTTTCATAGTGCATTTTCATGAAACAGAAGACTAGAAAATATTGGGAAAATTTATTTACTATTTTATGTACTTTCCATGTATCTTCATTTAAAGTTGGTTATGGTTGGAGGCTGCTGAGGTTGGCAGTGGTCCAGGCCTCTCCGGACCTCTGAAGTGCCCTATGGAACTTGTAATGAGTGTGCAGGTTGACCCCATCTGATATCAGTTGTGACAATGCTGGAGCTGGGCATCCTTCTGCTCCTGACAAGAGGACACGTATTCACGGGGCTAAATAACAACACAGTGCAGCATGGGCTAGGAACTGTTCAGAGTGCACTAAATACTGTTTGCTTCGGCAGCACATACATCCACATTGGAACAATACAGTGAAGATGAGCGTGGCGCCCACACAAGAATGACACACAAATCCATGAAGCGTTCCGTATTTTCAAAAAAACAAAAAAGAGTGTGCTAACTATAGGGCTACAGAGTTCCAAAAGAACAGTCCTTTAGAGGCTGGAGTAGCTGGGGAAGGCTTTGTGCAAAATATCACTTAAACCTTGTCCTAAACATGGAGGTGGCTGAAAGTGGGTAGTGGGAAGAAGGAGCTGTTCCAGGTAAAGGGACTGACGTGACCATGGGTTGGAGACGCAGCAAGGTCCAGGACCAGTACCTCTGGGCTCCTCTGACTCAGCCGGAGCAGCACGCCTTCATGAGCTCCACTGGACGAGGATGAGAGACCTGAAAGACAGTGGTGTTGGTAAACGGGAGTCGGAGGAAAATTTAGATGTGAAAGAAAGTTCATTAGGAGGAGACGTGGTTTTTGTTCCTTAGTTAAAATGGACTTATAAAGTCTCTACTGAATGTGGATTTGCAATTATCTCTGTGCCCCAGGACAAGTGACTACAAAGAGAACCAGGGCTGAGTTAAACTAGTTCCCGACAAGGTACACAAAGAGAAGTGGATTTTCCTAGGCATGGGCCTTTAACAGAATCCTGCATTGGACTTTTGGCAATGTTACCTTTCTCCTCCAGATGGTCTGCAAACACTGGATTTTCAAAAGCAAATTCCCCATTTAAAACATTCTCCAACCCTTCTAATGGTGACTCAGGTGGGGAAGCAGGCCACAGTCCCGCCTGCCCGACTGGCAGTTGGGCTGCTGCAGTTCCCATTCCAGGCAAGCCTCAGGCTGCTGGGGCCACCTTCCCTCCCCCGGCCCCCCAGGGCCTTAATACCTCAGGCCACGCCTTTTTTTACTCACACAGTTTTCCTTTCCTTTCCTCCCTTCGAAACAGTAAGTGGCCATACTGTTACACTTTTGAGACAACCATAGGGTCGTTCATTCATTGGTTCAGCATTTGTCAAGCCCTCGCTCTGTGCCAGGCACTGTGCTACCCTTGGCAAAATGGACAAGTCCCAATGCACACGGCCCAAGGCTGCAGGCAGACAGAGGTGCTGCCCTCTGTTTCACGCCCGAGCATAAACAGTGGCTGGCCTGACTTTCCTTTAACGTTAGTTCATGCAGATCAAAAGTCGTAGGAGCGATTGTGGGGAAGGTTGTTTAACTGTATGAATTACTCAGTGAAACTTCTCAAAAGGTACCTTTAAAGTGGGCGAATGTTATAGTCTGTAAATTGTACCCTGGACACTAGTGGTAGGTGTGTAAGTTTTTCTTTCCCCTCACTGCTTAGTCGTTTGTCAAGTCCAGTCATCCGTGACAGCCTTTTAATGAATAGAATGACAATTTTGTGCAGTTTCTTTGCACCTTGTTTTTTCCTCCCCCCACTCTGCTTTCAGACAGCAGAGGTGACACAGGAGTGGAATGTGTCGGGGACAGGAAGGCGGGGGGCTGGGACGGCTCTCAGGTTTTCCCTCCAGCGACCCCAACTTCTCAGCAGACTTGAGCTGCAGGCCGATACCCCCAGATATCCGGGGTGAACGTAAGTGCACCTTCCGACTCTGATTGCTCAGAGTGGATGTACGCTAGCTGGGCACGCTACGGCCGGGTCCCACCACTGGGCAGTGGCTGTGCTGACTCAGCTGCAGCAGAACCGGATGAAGAATCTGGCAGGCTGACTGCGGCGACAGCTGCTCATCCAGCTAGTTCTGCCGCTCTTTACATAGTTGCCAAGTTGAGACCTCAACCCCCTCCTACCTTTTCCTGGGATAAGGGAAAAAAACCCTCAGGGTTTTAGAGCCCAAGATGGACAGATACAAACATTCTGTTCCCTGGCCCGCACCTGCTCCCCAAAGCACTGAAACTCTTTTGGACTCCGTAATTTGTGCCAACCTGTGTTTTAAATTTTCTTCTTCTTACATTTCTGCCTTAGTGAGCTCAGGCCGGTAAAACAAAATGCTGTAGACTGAGTGGTTTGAACAGCAGACATTCATCCCTCGCAGTGCTGGGGGCCCGGAAGGCCGAGATTAAGGTGCAGGCAGATTCAGTACCTGGTGAGGACCCTCTTGCCGCCTGTACATCTCCCTGGTCCCTAGGTGACGGAGAGAGGAAGAGGGAGAAAGCTCCCTGGGATTCCTTCTCTGAGGCCACTAATCCCGTCATGTGGGTCTCACTCCCATGGCTCGAGTTAAACCTTAATTTCTCCCAAAAGCCCTACCTCCAAATACCGTCTTTAGTCCCTAATATAATCTGAACTTTCTTGATCCTGTAAAGACTAAATTATTTTTAGATTCACTTTTATTTCTAAATAAAAGATAGCAGTACGCATGGCCTGGGTACAGATTGGTTTCAGATACACCCAGACGGGGTTCCACTGCGCATGTATACTCACAGAGTCAGAAGATAGAGTGTTGACCAGTGGTGTTTTTAAATGAGAGTTAAGGTCTATGAAGAAGATGGAGAGGGAACTGGCCCAAGTGGCCAAAGAAAACCAAATGTGTACAGTGTAGGTGGAAACCAAAGTACTAAGTAGAAAGAGATCAGACTATTTGATGGGACAAGAAAGCCTTAAATATGAGAGATTGGCTCAGAAACAGGTCCATAGTGGGGACATATGAATGACTTCTGTTACTTTTCCAGGGTCACAGAGACCTGTTCTGGTGGCCCTGGGATGCTAAACGGAAAACTGAGAGCCAAGTGGAGCAGCTTACACACATGCGTACACAGGCACATGCATGTGCACACGTGCACACACACATGTATGGCTCATTCCCCCTCCCAACCAGCTGCAATGATTCTAAAGGAAAAAATCCAGTTGTGTTACCGTCTGGTCCCATCCCCACTCTGACCCACCCCACCCCCAGCTCTTTCGATCAGGTTCCGGGTCCCTGGGGCCTGCCAGCCCTCTCCTGCTTCAGGGAGGGGGCCCTGGCTGGAAGGTGGCTGGGCTGACACCGAATTAGAGATGCCATCCCTGGAACCATGGGCTCTGTGACTCCTCAGGACAGAAGCCCAGGGCCAGCCTAATGTGAACCAAGAACCAAAGACAAGCCTACAGTCTAATCCGGGACAGGCCCCTCTTACCCCCTGCATGGGTTCTAGTGTGTTTAATTGGTCTTCAGAATCTGATTCTAGGTGTCAGAAATGAGAGTGGACACCTTCCCAAGCCCATAGTTCTAATCTAGCCCTCTTCCCACACATGACCTTAGGAGGGACAAAGGGTCACTGTGGCTTCGATGATGGAGGTGGTGACACAGGCCCAAGCAGGGGAGGCCAAGGTGGCTCAAGGGGACAAGAAGACCTGGCCACAGTTGTTCCTCCTCTGCCTGGGGGTGCACTCCCTGCCCCCACAGTGCTGTGCACTTTCAGTCTGGTGCCTCCCCGTCCTCAGCAAAGGGGGCACACAGCAAGAGTGCTTCTGGTTGGGCTGCAAGCCCTCTTTGCTCCAGGAAAGGCAGGTAACGTTGACTCATTGGCCCTCCGCACTGGCAGCTACTCCACTAGGTCCTCATATACCTGACACCATTTCATGCCCATAAACCCATTTTATAGGTGAAGAAAATGAGGTCAAAGGAGGTTCTGGCTGGCCCAAGGTCACCCAGTAAGTAAGCGGCAAAACCAGGATTTAAACTGTTCTTCCATTGGGACAGGAGCACCCTTGGGGCCGGGGATCTGGTAGAGGTCAGGCTTTGAGAAAGGAAATGAAGGGGCATTTCCTTGGAGAAAGCTGCAGGGATTCCCTCCACTGGAGCTCTTCTGCAGAGGGGCCAGGTATTCCTCTGGCGCCCTGCCCCCAAATATTCCTCCTCTACCTTAAAGGGCCTGGAGCACACAGGGGTGGGCAAAAGTGGCTTTACAGCTGTTTGAATGGAAACAGACATGCAGGTTATGATTGTTACAGTGGCTTTCTTAACTCAGAAGAATGTCACTCGCAACTGCAGACCCACTTTTGCCCACCCCACGTATATTCAGCCAGTCATGGCAGGAGGCTGGGAGCCGGTTCCTCAGTGTCTCTGGCATCTCTGTCAGACCCTCCCCTCGCTCCAGCCACTGAGTTTTCACTGGGCCGTGAGTGGGGGCTTGCTGAAGTGTTACCAGGAAGAAACTGAGAAAGGCAGAATGCTACAAATTGGGACCCCAGAGAGAATAGCCTCTGCTTGAGACCAAGGCCATCTGCCTAGATGGTGGCTAGAAAGGTCAGTGTCTTTCTGGGGCAGTGTCTGGGAGGTTGGGGTCAGGAGTGTGGGTGCTCGAGCCAGGTTGCCTGGGTTCAAGTACCCACCCTGCCTTAACTAGCAATGTGGCCTTAAGCAGGTTACCCAACCTCAGTTTCCCCAGCTGTGCAGTGCATACTTGTTCAAGTTTACCTCTGGATAAAAATAATAATAAATAATGATGATAATAATAACTGAGCTTAGAATAGGGCCTTGGCACAATGTAAGTGACTGATGAGTATAACATTAGTCAATGGGGCAGATGGAGACTTTATCAGTTAGGACAGGAACGGAGGCGTGATCCGATTTACGTAGAAAGATCACCTACCCAGGGCCTGTCTGCGTCTCTGAGGTTTGTGCCCTGAGACGCAGTGGGGCGGATGAAGCACTGGCCTGGGAACATCAGGATTCTGGATTTGCATCCACCTCTGCTGTCCCCACAGGGTGTGACTCTGGACAGGGCGCTTTGTGCCTTTTCATCTCAGTTTCATCAACTGTGAAAGACGAGGGCCTGGAATATGCAGTTTTTAATAGTCTGTCACTCTCAGATTGACCAAATAGTTTCTGTACTCAGACTGGGTCTGTACCAATCACTGTGCTCTAGGTTTCAGCTACGTGCCAGGACTGTTCTAAGAATTCTGTATGTTTAACTCATTTTGTCTGTACAGTAATTCATGAGAGAGGCTATTCCCTTCACATCACAGGTGGAGAAACTGAGGCACGGGAAGCTTGAATAACTTGCTTGATGTCACAAAGCCAGGAAGCAGCAAAGCAAGAGTCAGACTTGAGCACTTTGGCTCCAGACTCTTTCTCCTGAACTACTGTGCTATGCATTTCTC